GAGGAGGAAGGGAAAGTAGAGGAGGAGAGGGAGGAGAAAGGATGAGGAGGACGAAGGAGAGAAAGAGGAGGAGGAGGAAGGGAAAGTAGAGGAGGAGAGGGAGGAAAAAGGATGAGGAGGACGAAGGAGAGAAAGAGGAGGAGGAGGAAGGGAAAGTAGAGGAGGAGAGGGAGGAAAAAGGATGAGGAGGACGAAGGAGAGAAAGAGGAGGAGGAGGAAGGGAAAGTAGAGGAGGAGAGGGAGGAAAAAGGATGAGGAGGACGAAGGAGAGAAAGAGGAGGAGGAGGAAGGGAAAGTAGAGGAGGAGAGGGAGGAAAAAGGACAAAGGAGGAGGAAGGAGAGGAAGAGAAAGAGGAGGAAGGAGAGGAGGAGAGGGAGGAAAAAGGACGAAAGAGGATGAAGGAGAGAAAGAGGAGGAGGAGGAAGGGAAAGTAGAGGAGGAGAGGGAAGAAAAAGGAGGAAGGAAAGGGAGACGAGGAAGGAGAGGAAGAGGAAGGGGAAGAGGAGGAAGGGGAGGTAGAGGAGGAAGGCGAGAGGAAGAAGAGGAGAAAGGAGAGAGGGGAGGAAGAGGAGAACCAGGAAAGAGAGGAAGATGAGGAAGCCAAGAGGAGGAAGGAGAGGAAAAGCTGGAAGGAGAGAGGGGAGGAAAAAGAGGAGGAGGAGGAAGATGAGAGGAGAAAGAGGAGGAAGGAGGGAAGGAACAGGAGGAGGAAGATGAAGGAGAGGAAGAGCAGGAAGGAGAGAGGAGGGCAAAGAAGAGGAGGAGGAAGGGGAGGAGGACGAAAGAGGAAGGAGAGAGGGGAGGGCAAAGGAGAGGAAGAGGATTTCATATCATGACTTTGTGGCCCATCAAATGTCACTTTGATTCTCCAAAGGGACCCTCCCAACAGACCCTACAACGTCCAGCACCCCCAGCCAGTTGTGACGGACGCTGGGGGGAGGAGGAGGAGTGTTTCTCAACAGTGGCGGCTCTTCACATGCCTGGACTTCAACTCCCAGAATCCCCCAGCCAGATTCTGGGAGTCGGAAGTCCACACACCTCAAAAAGCAGCAAGGTTGAGGAAAGCCGATTTAGACCCCTTCCTAAATCTCCCGATCTCCTCCCCAGAGCGAGTCGATCAAACCCGAAGAATTCACCCTGGAGGTCTTCGAACATTTCGTCAACAAGCTTTGCCTTCGTCCTGACATCGACAAAATCTTGCTGGAGATGTGAGTCAAACGAGATCCCTCTTCTGCGGGGGATGCGAAGCCGGTTACGATACAGAAACTGAGGCACGGTATATCGGTATCAGCTCGACTTGGGACTCTAATGATCGCTTGTCCGTTACGGTCGTAAGTCTCGGGGATCATTGTTCTGACTGAAGCTTCCCGAGAGCACGAAGCAAACTCCTTGTTGTCCCGACAAAAACCCCTTTTATTAATTTGCTGTGGATTCTGCTCCTTCACATCCAGCAAAGTCTTTCGAGGGAGGATTTACGGTCACAGACCTTATCTGGCTTGGAGAGCTGCCAGGCCGATCTCTGCAAAACTTGGCCAGGAGCCTCGGAGGGTCACGAACCAATGAAGCGAACTAATGGTCTCCTGCAAACTCCACTCCCCTGTCGCTCCTCTTTTATTCCCTCTGGGAGGGGCCATTCACCGTCCACTTGTGGCCTTCCTCCCAAGTCGACCCCTGTTCTTTAGCTGCTCCCTTCGTCTGGCCACTCTGCGCATGCGCACACTGAGAACAGGCTCCAACTGTTCAAGATCTTGCCCCCCACACCCACAAGTCCCATCACATGGTCCAATCTTCAACTGCCACGCTGGCCGTTCCACCTATCCAGTTCTGGTCAGGTGCAGAGGTGCAAAAACAAAAAGATGACCTTGGTTTTTCTGGAAAGAATTTTGTTATGGCTACATAGCATCTAACAATCTCCCCCCCCTCCCATTTTCCCATAATAGAAAATGTATAGTAGAATAATAGGAAGTATGCACCCGATTCACGTAATGGCCGTGTGACTAACTTAACAACCACAGTGATTCCCTTAACAAGTGTCTCGCTTAGCAAACCTCCCTTAACAAGTGTCTCGCTTAGCGACATAAATCGTCGGCTCCGTTGTGGTCGTAAGTCGAGGACTACCTGTATCCGACTCTGTTTTTTTTTTCCTCCCTGTCCTTTTTCTGTCCTCACCCAATCAGCGGAGCCAAAGGGAAGCCGTATCTCAGCCTCGACCAGCTGATGGAGTTTATCAACCAGAAGCAGCGTGACCCCCGCCTGAACGAGGTCTTGTACCCACCTCTGACGCGGGCGCAAGTGCGCCAACTGATCGCCAAGTACGAACCCAACCAGCAGTTCCAGCAAAGGGGTAAGAGATCAGTTCTAGCCCAGTTCCTCAAACACGTCAAACCCTTAAATCAAGGCTTAATTTATTAGGAGCGCTGGGAGTGTCTCTCTCACCACAAGCCAACAAAATCGTCTGGCAAGGGAGATGAACCGTTGTCTGCCATATCTATTCATCTCCGCTCCCTGCCTTTTATCCCCAGAGTTTGGGTGGGGCTTCACTAGCAGTGATGGCTCTTCCTTCCCAAGGACCGGCCCATAGATTTCCTCTGCTCTCCTCTCCTCTGTCACATCTATTCATCTCCGCTCCCTGCCTTTTATCCCCAGAGTTTGGGTGGGGCTTCACTAGCAGTGATGGCTCTTCCTTCCCAAGGACCGGCCCATAGATTTCCACTGCTCTCCTCTCCTCTGTCACATCTATTCATCTC